AATGGGTTTGTTATTGACTACACGTTTCTACCTGGAAAAGATATGTTTACAGTTCTGTAGAGAAGTTTCTTGTGAAAACATTAATATGATATTTTAGCAGTTAGCCTCAGGCTTTCTTATAGTCAATTTTTGGTTTCCTGTATAAGAAAAACCCATTGAAATCAAAGTGAAATTCTGTTATTTTTATTTACATCTGTTTATATGAGTCGGGGCCGACTCGACGGCACATAACAACAACAACAACAACAAATATTGTTTTAAAGTTTTTACATTTAAAAATACTGGTTAATTATTGGAACTGTTAAGTATATTGAAAGACTAATCTCTATTAAGAGAATAGAGTTTGAAAGCACACACTAATCTGCTTACACCTCTGTTTATGTAACTGTATATCAACAAATACATATGTAGCATTTTCACAGTAGTACCTATATCTTCAAGGAGCTCTGGTGGCCCAGTAGTTAAGGCTTGCGTCTACTAACCAAAAGGTCAGTGGCTTAAGGCCACCAGCAGCTCCGTGGGAGAAAGATGAGGCAGTCTGTTTCCTAAGATTTACAGCCTTGGAAACCCACGGGACTTGTTCTACTCTGTCCTCTAGGGTCACTGTGAGTTGGAATCAACTCAGTGGCAGTGACGGGGATAGGGCAGATCTTCAATACTATATTATTTGGTCAAGGATTGACAGAATTATGTTAATATTCTCCACTATTATGTGTCTGTCAGTTCTATCTTGTATTTCCTATACTCTTTGACCTTGTAGTTTAATATTATATTAATTGATATATAATGGTTTATGACACTTGTGTGTTCATTGTGGATCGTCTTCAATCATTACAAAGCTATCCTCTTTTCCTACTTAATATATTTTAGTCTGAAGTCAGTTTTGTGCTGTCCTAATGCATTCTTCCTCCTTGCTTTCTCCTCTTTCCCTCCGTCCCTTTCTTCCTCTGTCTGTCTGTTGTCTTTCTAATTTGCCTTCTTTACTTCCGAATTGGCTTATTTGGAACCATTGTCAGACATTTGTAGGAATGTTTCTTATAAATTGGATTTTGCATTTCACCCCATTCTGATAGGCTCTTGCCACTTACTTGTATTACATATAACACATGTGTTTGGTCATGGTTCTGTCATCTTGTTTGCTCTTTTTTTATGTTTTCATGCTGTTCTGTTTTCCATTTTCTCAGTGAACAGAAGGGTCTAAGATTGACACAGGAAGCTTACTCTAAGTTATCCAAACAATGGGCTCGCTGGGACCAGTAATACTTCCAGCCTACCACGCTGGTGGAGCTGCACCCAAACCCCACTCCCTAAGGTGCCCTGTTGCTGGGAGCTAGCTTTTCCATACCATTCATAAAACAGATGGCACCCAAGCCCCAACTTCTTGGGTCAGAAGGTCTACCTGTCTCTTACTGACAAGATTGTCACCTTTTTTCCTATCAGAATGGAGAGCCCCAGTGGGGTAGGGTCCCTTCAGACCTGCTGCCAATCCATCAGCAGTGCTGGTGCTGGCATGCCTCTGGGTGGGGTGATGGCAGGATCAGGGACTTGGTCCTTCTCTTGAAGACTCCATCATTTCTTCAGGAAAGCTTTCCTCTTACCCTGTATCATGTGATGCTCTGACGCCTGCTCTATGTCCCACCCTGTGCTCCTGTCTGATAACTTACATGCAGTTATGACTTTAGTCCTGGTTTAAAAATCAGAAACCTGTTAAATGAAGCAGGTTAACTGGAAAGAAAATGACATGCCCATGAGGATTTTCTTTGTCTATGACACTGCCCTTGGCTCTTGGGTGGGGGAGGATTTAAGAATCTTTTCAGGGTAGACTACTCCTGAGGGTGAGAGAGGAGGCTAACTGATGGCTTTTTTACTTCTTGAACTAAAAGACAGACATTGATCAGGAGTTTTGTCATGTTAAAGATAAAAATTAATAGCAGACATTATACTTTGATTTCAAGATTTTTTCTTTCCCGCAACACCAATTTTTTAGCTGCCAGGCCAGAGACCACCTGTTGCTGTTGTTGTTGTTATGTGCCGTCGAGTTGGCCCCGACTCATAGCGACCCCTCCTTGGGTTTCCGAGGCAGTATCACTACGGAAGTAGGATTGCCCAACCTTCCTTCCGAGGAGTGGCTGGTGGGTTTGAACCGCCAGCCGTCTGGTTAGCAGGCAAGTGTCTTAGCCACTATGCTACCAGAGACCACCTAGTAATCTGATAACTGTTGATCTCAGTCAAAGGAGGAGGGTAGGGCTCACTCAATCATGCTGAGATTAGCCAGTGGTTATCTTCTGTTTTTCTGTCTCTTCTTTGTAAGACTCATTGCAACAAGCCTACTAAAAGTCATTTGCTTTTCTGGGAATCAGAATGGCTTCCCTATACGTATATAGAATAACTGCTCAGAATAAACCTTATGTTTCCAATTCTTTGAGTTTTGCTTATTTTTTTTAATGGTCACATAAGCATTATAGACCATTAGAAAATGTGGAATAAGTCTTGCTTATCATCTTCTAACATATATCTTTGTCTATAAGTAATCGTGTTTATTGATTATTGTTTGCTCCTTCAGAATGTAAGCCTCATAAAGGCAGAGTTCTTTGAGATCTGTGATAGATCTCCAGCCCCTAGAACAGTGCCTGGTACAGAGTAAAACCAGTTGCTGTCAACTCCTGACCCCCATGTATATCAGGGTAGAACTGTGCTCTGTGACATTGATTGATTGATTGATTTTATTGTTGTTATTGAGAATATAAACAACAAAACACACCAATTCAACCGTTTCTCCATGTGCAGTTCAGTGATACTGATTATATTCTTCACATTGTGCATTCCTTCCCACTCTCTTTCTGAGTTGTTCCTTCCTCATTAACATAACCTCACTGCCCCTTGAGGTTCCTATCTAATCTTTTGAATTGCTGGTGTCACTTTGATCCCGTTTAGATAGTTTAAAAGAGCATAATGCTCAAGTCATGAGAATTTGAAATTCTTCTTTGCATTTTTCCCTTTTGATCAGGATTCTTCTGTAAAATCTTTGATCAAAACGTTCAGTAATGGTAGCAGGGCACCATCCAGTTCTTCTGGTCTCAGGGCAAAGGAAGCTCTTGTTCCTGGAGGCAGTTACTCACACATTGCATATCTTCCTTCTATTCCTGACTCTACTTCTTCCTTTGTTGCTCCAGGCAAATAAAGACCAATTATTGCGCCTTGGATGGCTGCTTGCAGGCACCATGCAGTGAACTGGGAGGTAGAACAGAAGCACTGCACACATTATTAGGCCAGTTAACTGGGATGGCCCATGAAACCATGACCCTGAACCTCCAAATCAAGGAACCAAATCCCATGAAGGTTTTGGTTCTGCATAAGCAGTCTCAGCTGCTACTTTTTTTTTTTTCTTTCTTTCTTAATGTTGTTGTCAGTATATCTATCACACAGCTTTTGCCAGTTCAACTTTTTACAGGTTGTGGTGGTTAAGTTTGTGTGTCAGCTTGGCTAGGCCTGGTTGAGTGGCTGGGCAGCTGGATGTAGTATTCCCCATGATGAGACTGGAAATCAACTCCATGGTGGAATCTGCTGTGAGCAGCTCAGTAGCTGCCTTTGGGAATGTGGTCTGCTTCCTGTATATAAGAAACAGCTTTGGGAATGGTCTCTAGCTTATGGCATGCTTGAACCCTGCATGTAGCCGAGTCATTTTTCAGCAGCCTGCCACTCTCTGCCAGTCCTGGGACTTTCAATGGACTCAAGTCAGTGGCCTGCCGTGAGGTTTGGTAACATCGAGACTGTGCCATTTTATTTGTCGACCTTGGGCTTGTTAGCCTCAGCAGCCAGAGCTGCCTGAGTGAAGAGATGCCTCCAGCTTCAGTGGACCAGGAGCAAGAGGCAGAGGTGAAGCCCAAGGTCAAAGGGCTTTGACACAGCCCCTAGAGCCTGGCACTTTGAACTCAGACTTTTAGCCTTCTGAACTGTAAGAGAAAAAAGTCCTGTTTGTTCAAGCCATCCCATTTGTGGTATATTCCTGTCAGAGCAGCACGAGGTAACCAGAACAAAGGTGTACAACTCTTTACAAGTGTAAGGCCACAGTAAGGAGAAGAGGATGCACAAAAGTGAGGTTAAAGAGAAGTTTTTATTCTGAGTTTCCGGGGGAGGTTTACGGGCCCCCAAGAGGGACCTGGGCGAGGTTCACAGGTCCCTGAGAGGGGCCCGGGAAGTCGCACCGCCTGGCTGGGGAGGGGAGGGTTTATAGTCTTGTGGAGGACCTAAGCGGGGACACTAAGGAAATAGTGGGGTCCAATTAGCTGTTAGTATGGGTCTGCACTTAATTAGCATGAGGGGGCTTCACAAGAGGAAGCTTGCTACTGCATGGGACTTTCCAGTCTGGGCGGGTTCTGTCACTTCGGTTGTTTTATCAGGCTGTCTCATCAGGGCTTGACACCCGGAGGAAGCTGCTAACTGAAATGTTGGTGGCTTGGGTTTGCTTCGGCCTAAAAACAAGCATACAGCTTACCAACAGCTATTACAGTAATCAGCTGTGCAATACTACCCTTATTCAGTGAGGTTTTTCCATCACCACTGACCACCACCCCTTTTCTCGCCAGCTCCTTCCCTTTGGCCTCTAGTAGCCACTATTAGACTTTGTTCTCTAAACGTTTGCCTTTCCTCGTCTTCTTATATGAGTGAGGTCATGCGATATTCATCTTTTTGTAATTGACTTCTATCACTCGTAGTAACGTCTTCAAGCTCCATCCATATTGTAGCATGTATCAAGACTTTGTTTCTCCTGTGGCTGAGTAGCATTCCACTGTATGTGTGTACCACATTGTGTCCATCCATGAACTCCACTGCATTTTCAGTGGCTTGTTTTTCAGAAGTAAATCACCAGACCTTTTCTCTGAGGTGGACTTGAACCTGCAGCCTTACTGTTAGCAGCCAAGCGCATTAACCATTGCACCAGCCAGGGATTGTTGAGTGAATAAATTACTAAGTGATCTCAATCTTTAATGAAATGAAAGATGGCACTCCTCTCCACGTTTGGCTTCCCATTCTGATGTGTTTAGACAACATACCACTCAGGGTTTTGATCCCTGATTCTTTATATCTACTCTGTTCATATCACTTACTTCCCAAAACAAAGAAAATCCTTCTTCTTCTTTTTTTTTAATCCTGAAATTGTTTTCAGATAACATTTCAAAACCAAACTCAATTGCCATTGAGTTGATTCTGACTCCTAGTGACCTCCATTGGGTTTCCAAAGCTGTCAATCTTTACAGAAGCAAACTGCCTCATCTTTCTTCCACAGAGCAGCTGGTGAGTTCGAACCACTGACCTTTTGGTTAGCAGCCAAATGCCTTACCCACTACACCACCAGAGCTCCTTCAGATAACATTGGATGCTTTTTTTAAAAAAGGTAAAACGTCTTTAGAAAAGGTTCGGTGTTTTATAACCATGTTTTATTTTCTATCCGCTTCTGAGTCATAACTCACTTCTGTTTTTTTTAGTGTTTTCAGAGTTGAGGACAGTAACTGACACCAGTGTTTTTCTTTTCACCTGTAGCACAGCCAAGTACAGCCCGTGGTCGTTTCTCCCTCGATACCTGTATCTGCAGTTCCGCAAAGCTGCCAACCTGTTCTTCCTCTTCATTGCTATATTGCAGGTGGTGATTTTTAATGCATTGTTAGATGAAAACACTCAGACACTGAACAAACACTTATAAAAAGTCCATGTAGCTGAAATAAGTGGATGCAGAGATTAAATATTATCAGAAGAAAGCACTCTTCTTATGAAGTTAATTCATCAGATGCTGACACTTGAGTTTTGGCTAAAAAAACCACGTGGATGCACAATAGATGAATTAGGTCACAGTTCATCCTCATCGATAGACAGACAGACAGACAGATAGATAGATAAAGAGAAAGAAGGAGCTCTGGTGGTGCAGTGCGTAAGGCATTTGACTGCTAACCAGAAGGCTGGCAATTCAAACCCACAAACTGCTCTGCGGAAGGAAGATGGGGCGATCTACTTCCATAAAGATTTACTGCCTTGGAAACCCAATGGAGGTCACTATGAGTCAGAACCAACTTGACGGCATACATACATACATACATACATACATATATGTGTGTGTGTGTGTGTATGTATATGTATGTATGTATGTCCAAATTCACTGCTTTTGAGTCAGACCCGACTCATAGTGACCCCTCCTTGGGTTTCCCAGGCACTATCTCTACAGAAGTAGATTGCCTCATCTTCCTTTCATGGAGCAGCCAAATACCTTATCCACTATACCCAAACATAGTCTGGAGACATATGTAGCCCCATTCCTTTAAGGGTACACAGCTCAAAACCATCCTTCTTCACATTTTTTCCAAAGGCCAAAGCCCATTCTGATTTCTTTGTTCTGTGCTACTTAATGTAATTTTTTTTTTTTTTTTCCTAGCAAACGGACACAGATAAAAGAGATATTTCAAAGGCGGAGTTACTTATCAGCTTAAACAATCCTAAATTGTCCTTCTCTTTCTTCCTTTATTACTGAGACTCTGTAGACTTGTTGGGAGCTTCAGAATATTTTGAAGCTATTTTGCTACACTGTGCAAAGAAATAAGGAGCTCTGGTGGTGCAGTGCCTAAGGCATTTATTTGACTGCAAACCAGGAGGTTGGCAGTTCAAATGCAGTTCAAACCCACCAGCCACTCCATAGAAGGAAGATGGGCAATCTACTTTGGTAAAGATTTACGGCTTTGGAAACCCAGTGGGGGTCGCTGTGAGTTGGAATTGACTCAGTGGTAATGGGTTTACTTTTTTGGAGGTGCAAAGAAAGAATAAGAAAGCAGGAAGTGGTCAGGCAGTCTGGAGAATACACATAGGCCCCCCTCTGTTAGAACAGGCCTACGGCTTGTCTGAAGATGGAAAATTGAGTGGTCAAACCCAGGGCCTCACCTCGCCTCCTGCCACCATAACAATAGCACAAGTCATTGGCTTCAAAGAATAAGAATTTATTCTCTCTCTGTCTGAGCTCTTGGGAAAGATCCTCGTCTCTGTCAGCTTCTAGTTGTACTTGTTGTTGGGTGTTGTGGTGTTGATACTGACTCATAGTGACACCACATGATAAAGTAGAACTGCCCCGTAGGGCTTTCTAGGCTGTAATCTTTCTGGGAAGGAGCTCTGGTGGTCCAGTAGCTCAGGCATTTGACTGCTAACCAAAAGGTCAGTGGTTCGAACCCACCAGCCACTCTGCAGGAGAAAGATGAGGCAGTCTGCTTCCATAAAGATTGACAGCCTTGGAAACCTTCTGGTGCAGTTCTACTCTGTCCTCTAGGGGCCCTGTGAGTCAGAATCAACTCCATGGCAGTGGGTTTGGTTTGGACTTTGCTCTGTAAAGACTGACAGCCTTGGGAACCCTCTGGGGCAGTTCCACTCTGTCCTCTAGGGGCGCTGTGAGTTGGAATCGACTTGAAGGCAGTGGGTTTGCTTTGGGCTTTGCTTCTGTAAAGTTGTTTTTTTTTTTTACTTTTAATCTGTGTGGAAGCAGTTTGCCAGTTCTTTCTCCCACTGGGTGTGTTTGAAGCACTCACCTTTCAGTTAGCAGCTGAACATTTCCCTGCTGTGCCACCAGGGTCCAGAAATCCTGGGCATTCCTTGGCTACTTGTATATGTATTTCATACAGCACTTTTCTTCGCTCTGTTGTCTCTGGGTCTTTTCTGCTCTTTTTATAGGACACCACTCAGAAGTGATTAGGTTTGGAACCCACCTTTGTCTGGTATGATTCAGTAACATTGTAAAAGAAAACCCCTTTCCAAACAGTCATGTTCACAAGCACAGGTTTAGGACTTCCACATAGCTTTTTTAGGAACATAATTCAATCCTTAACACCTACCATCCACCAGAAAACCACCACAGCCTCATTTTTGACTATTTTATTTTATTATTCTTTTTTATTTTTTCAGTGTCTTTCCTTTCCTCAGTGTCACCATGCTAGTCACAGACTCTTTCCATATCATCCCTCCCATTACCCAAATGAACATGTGACCCCCAACTAGTCTGAAATTTTCCCTTCCCTTCCCTCCCGTCCCTTGTAACCAACAAAGTGAATTTCCTTCCCTGAGTAAACTTTCCTTGACTTTTTACAATAATGGGATCATATAATATCTATCCTTCTGTGATTGACTTATTTCACTTGGCAGAATGTCCTCCAAATTCATTCACGTTGTGAGATGATTCGTGTATTCTTCATTATTATTTAATGTTGCGTAGTATTCCACTGTGTGAATGTACCATAGCTTGGTTATCCATCCATTCATATGTTGATGGGCATTTAGGTTCATATAATATCTATCCTTCTGTGATTGACTTATTTCACTTGGCAGAATGTCCTCCAAATTCATTCACGTTGTGAGATGATTCGTGTATTCTTCATTATTATTTAATGTTGCGTAGTATTCCACTGTGTGAATGTACCATAGCTTGGTTATCCATCCATTCATATGTTGATGGGCATTTAGGTTGTTTCCATCTCTTTGCTATGGTGAATTGTGCTGTGATGAACTTGGGTGTGCATATGTCTGTCTGTCCTGTCTCTCACCTCTTTTGGATATTCCTATTAATGGACTTGGCTGGATCAAATGGCATTTCTGTTTTCAGTTTTTAGGGAAATGCCATACCATTTTCCACAGTGGTTGTACCATTTTGCTGTCCCACTAGCAGTGTTCAAGAATTCCAGCCTTTCCACAGCCTCACTAGCATTTGTTATTTTTTGTCTTGTTGAACCTTGCTGTTATTGCTGGGGTGAGATCTTATCTGGTTGTTTTGATTTTGTTGTTGTTGTTATGTGCCGTCGAGTCGGACCCGACTCATAGCAACCCCTCCTTGGGTTTCCGAGTGTTTTGATTTACATCTCTCTAATTATTTGTCATATTTGACATGGTGGCTGGTGGTTATAGATACTAGCCACCATTCATTTTCACCTTAGAAGCTTTATTCAGCTGGGCCTCCACAATTTATCTCCTTTACATAAAAAGGAAGTAAGATTAAGTTATAATGTCCAATCTGAATTGAACTATTCTGAAAAGATGGTGTTTTAAATCAATAATTACATTTTGAATTATCCCCTTCCTGTGAAGGTGTCACTGAGCCATTGTTGCCCTGGGGACTTTTCTGTAATGTAGTATGTAGTGATGAGAAGGGGAGAGATGCTAAGATTCTCATTCCCAGTTTTATTTAATGTGTCTGTTGTTTGCATATCTTGGGGCCACTAGTAGTGTGATTTTGCGTTTAAGCATAGAATATAAAAAGGGTTTGCCCTAACATTAATAGTGTAATTTTGATTGTTTTGCAGCAAATTTCAGATATTTCTCCAACAGGAAAATATACAACCGTGCTGCCTTTGATGGCGATTCTTACAGTTTCAGGCATCAAAGAGATTATAGAAGATTATGTAAGTGTACTGATGTCTAATGAAATGCTCTCAAAATGACTACATTGAATGTAAACATTATCTTTATTGCTCTTTGTCAAGGGGCAGTAGGTTGGAACTGTTCTAATTATCCAAGCCTGCAGTTGGTGTAAATAGTGAATTAAAGTTTTGGGGTTTCAGATTTTAAATTTTATACTTTGTGACTTATCTTCCTGAGAGACTAACAGGACTTAATAAAACCCACTGCTATCAAGTTGATTCTGACTCATAGTGACCCCCATTGGGTTTCTGAGGCTGTACATCTTCATGGAAGTAGATTGCCCTATCTTCCTTCTGTGGAGTGGCTAGTGGGTTTGAACTACCAACCTTCTAGTTAGCAGTCAAATGCCTTAGGCACTACGCCACAGGATTTAATAGCTGCTGTATAAACTATGATCACATCATTGACCATCACATAGTTAACCATCTTAAATCGCTGTCAAGGATGTGAACATGAGTCATGTGATGTCTTCATTTTTCCTTGAGTCTTGTCCCCGGCAGACCTTCACATAAGCCAGCTGACTTGGGTAGTGGAGGAAGGGACGGGAGATTTTTAACATTGCTTTCTACTAACTATGACACTCTGGTATACTTGGGGCCACTTGGTTAGAGTCCCCTTCCTCCTTCCTGACATTCTTCTTTTTTTTTTTTTTCCAATTATATTTATTTATTTTTGTTGAGAATATCCACAGCAAATTACCATCCACTTCTGATCTCATGGCAAAAGAGGCATTTGTTCATGCATTCTTTTCCCCAGATTATTAGCTATTGTTATCCACACACTCTGCCTGGTTACTGTAGTCTTGTAAAGTTGTGTCAGCAGTAAAATGGACTCTAGTTCTTGGCCTTTTGGTTGGTTTATAACATGAGAGGATTTTCCAGTCTTGCTCAAAAGTCTTAGGGTAGGTTGGGACCAAATCCAGAATTGCTCACTATGTGTTTTAACCACTGTAGTCATCGTAAGTGATGTATAATATGGCAACATTTTAAGTATGTTGTATGTGCCAGGCACTGTGCTATGTCTGTATGTGTGTTTGTAAATGTATATATACACACACATATATATACACATATGTATATATATATATACATACACACATACCTACAAATTTGTTGTTGTTGTTATATGCCGCCAAGTCGGACCTGACTCACAGCGACTGCTCCTTAGGTTTCCAAGGTGATATCGCTACAGAAGTGGATTGCCCAACTTTCCTTCCAAGGAGTGGCTGGTGGGTTTGAACCGCCAGTCTTCTGGTTAGCAGTCAAGTGCCTTAGGTACTACACTACTAGAGCTCCCACCTACAAAACATTTTGGGCTTTTCTTCCTTTCCTCTCTTTTTAATGACCTTTTGCTTTCTTCATGGATTATGCATACCTACATGTATATGTATGTGTTGTTGTTGAAGTAGGATTGCCCAACCTTCCTTCCGAGGAGTGGCTGGTGGGTTTGAACCGCAAGCCTTCTGGTTAGCAGTCAAGTGCTTTAGCCACTATGCTACCAGAGCTCCTATATATATATGTAGGTATGTATATGTATATATGTATGTGTATATATGTATGTATACATACATACATGTGTATGTAGATATGTATAATCCATGAAGAAAGCAAAAGGTCATTAAAAAGACAGGAAAGGAAGAAAAGACCAAAATGTTTCAGAAGAGATTCTAAAACTTGTCCTTGAGTGGAGAGTGGCTAAAGCAAGTGGAAGAAGTGACAAGATAAAAGAGCTGAACAGAAGATTCCAAAATAAAAGAGCTGAACAGAATAGTTCAAAGAGCAGCTTGAGAAGACAAAATCAATTATTATAATAAAATGTTTAAACACCTGGAGTTAGAAAACCAAAAGGGAAGAACATGCTCAGCATTTGCCGAGTTCAAAGAACATAAGAAAAAATTCAAGCTTTGAACTGCAGTATTGAAAGATTCTCTGGACAAAATATTGAATGATGTGGGAAACATCAAAAAAAGATGAAAGGAAGACACAGAGTCATTGTACCAAAAAGAATTGGTTGATGTTCACCATTTCAGGCGTTGACTTATGATCAAGAAGCAATGGTATTGAAGGAAGAAGTTGAAGCTGCACTGAAGGAACTGGCAAAGAACAAGGCTCCAGGAACTGATGGAATACCCACTGAGATGTTTCAACAAATGGATGCTGCCTGCACTGGAGGGGCTCACTCATCTATGCCAAGAGATTTGGAAGACAGCTACCTAGCCAGCTGACTGGAAGAGATCCATATTTGTACCCATTCCAAGGAGAGATGATCTCACAGAAGGTGGAAATTATCAAGCAGTATCATTAATATCACACACAAGTAAGATCTTGCTGAAGACAATTCAAAGATGGTTGCAGTAGTATATTGACAGAGAAATTCCAGAAATGCAAGCTGGATTCAGAAGAGGACATGGAATGAGGGATACTATTGCTGATGTCAGATGGATCTTAGCTGAAACTAAACAATATCAGAAAGATGTTTACTTGTGTTTTCTTGACTATGTGAAGGCATTTGCGCTTGCTGAAAGTGAGGATGACTTGAAGCACTTATGATGAAGATTAAAGACTACAGTCTGCAGTATGGATTACATCTCATCATAAAGAAAATGAAAATCCTCACAACTGGACTGATAAGCAGCATCATGATAAATGGAGAAAAGATTGAAGTTGTCAAAGATTTCATATTAGTTGGTTCCATAGTCAACACCAGTAGAAGCTACAGTGAAGACATCAGACAACATATTACACTGGGCAAATCTGCTGCAAAAGACCTCTTTAAAGTGCTGAAGAGCATGGATGTCTCCTTGAAGACTAAGGTGCCCCTAACCTAAGCCAGGGTGTTTCCAGTCTTCTCATGTGCATGTGAGAGCTGGACAATGAATTAGGAAGACCAAAGAAGAGTTGATGCTTTTGTGTTGTGATGTTGGCAAAGAATACTGAAAATATGATGGACTTCCAGTAGAACTAACAGATCTATCCTGGGAGAAGTGCAGGCAGAATGCTCCTTGGAAGCGAGAATGGCCAGACTTCGTCTGACCTACTTTGGTCATATTGTCCAAAGGGACCATTCCCTGGAGAAGGATATCATGTTTGGTAAAGTGGGGGGGGGGGGGTCAATGAAAAAGGGGAAGGCCCTCAACAAGATGGATTGACACAGTGGTTGCAGCGATGGACTCAAGTATAGCAAAGATTGTAAGGCTCGCACAGGACTAGGCAGTGTTTCGTTCTGTTGTACATAGGGTCACTACAAGTCAGAGCCAACTCGATGGTACATAACAATAACAACAACAACAACAAATACATATATATACACACACACACATATGCATCGAGCCAAGGTCTGAGGTTGCCAACAAAGACACAACTCATATACAATAGATCAATAGATCAAGTCAGCCTCACTAGTGGGCATCAGTGGATCCTTTCTCATAGCCACTAGTGGGTGGATGTCCTGTGTGCACCCCTCCTGTGCTGCAGGTATGAGGTCTCATTCCTTCCTTGCTGGGGACAGATAAAGAAATGGGACTGGCCAGGTACCATGTAAAGCACATACTTAGCTGAGCAGTTCCTGGGAATTTTGACAGGTGGTCAGGGCAAGTGGGCAGGGGTGTGCTGATAGCCCACCAGCTGCTGTGGGACGTGTTTTGGGTTGAGGCACCCCAGCAAAAGGAAGTCAACCCACAGTCTCATCCCATCCAAGTGCAAGGTTCATTTGTGGGTCTCAGGAAAAGGTGGAAGGCTACCATATATATGGCAGCCAACCAACCAATTGCTGTCCAGTTGATTCTGAGTCACAGAGACTCCATGTGTTTAAGAATGGAACTGCATAGGGTTTTCAACAACTGTGATCTTCCCGAAGTAGATTACTGGGGATTGTTTTGGAGGTGTCTTTGGGTGGATTTTAACTTACAGGATTTTGGTTAGTAGGTCAGCACTTAATTGTTTGAGCCACTCAGGGACTTGTATATGTATATGTACAGAGGTATTTATGCTCAATTACACACGTGCACATAAGGACACAGAGAGAGCATGTGAACAAGAGAGGCCTGGTGCACAGTGGTTAAGCTCTTGGCTGCTAACCAAAAGGTTGGTGATTTGAACCTAACAGTCACTCTGTGGGAGGAAGAAGTACAATCTGCTTCTGTAAAGATCACAACTTTGGCCCGGAAACAGTTAGTCCAAGGGACTGGTACACCATACGATTCTCAGCCTATATGACTATGAGACCAGAAGAACTAGATGGTGTCCTGCTACCACTGTCAACCTCTCGGAGGGGGATCTATGTAGGAGATCCTGGATAGAGAAGGAGAACAATGTGGAACAAAACTCAAAATCATTATTTAAAAAAAAGGGACCAGGTTTGCTGGTCTGATCAAGCCTGATAGAACCCTTGAGATTATGGCCCTTAGCGGCCCTTCAGGTCTGGAATTGAACTCACTCCTGTAGTTTCCAGCCGAACAAAAGACAGGCATATGAGCTGAACATTTACCTGAGGTAGATACACTAGACTTCTTGGAGAGAGCAATCATGGGTGAATAGAAGGGCTGTGTAGGCACAGGGAGACAGCTTAGGGGATAGGAGTGTATGGGAGGGAAGGACACAGGGAAGAGGTGGCTATGGGGAGTGTTAAGCCGAAACAAACCCAAGCTACCAACATTTCGGTTAGCAGCTTCCTCCGGGTGTCAAGCCCTGATGAGACAGCCTGATAGGACAACTGAAGTGACAGAACCCGCCCAGACTGGAAAGTCCCATGCAATGACACACTTCCTCTTTTGAAGCCCCCTCATGCTAATTAAGTGCAGACCCATGCTAACAGCTAATTGGACCCCACCATTTCCTTAGTGTCCCCACTTAGATCCTCCACAAGACTATAAACCCTACCCTCCCCAGCCAGGCAGTGCGACTTCTCGGGCCCCACTCAGGGACCCGTGAACCTCACCCGGGCCCCTCTCAGGGACCCGTAAACCTCACCCAGAAGCGCAGAATAAAAACTTCTCTTTAACCTCACTTTTATGCGTCCTCTTCTCCTTACTGTGGCCTTACAGGGAGAAAGTGGGAGGAGAGTTGTTGCATTGTGGGAAATTATAGTCAATGTCATGAGACAAAGTGTATGTGAACTGCTGTATGAAAGATGAGTTTGCTCTGTAAACCTTCACCCAAATCACAATTAAAAAAAAAAAAAACAACAACAAAAGAATTACAGAAAAAGTTCTAAAAACAAAGATCATAGCTTTAGCAGTTCTGCTCTCTCCTATAAGGTCACTCTTATTTGGAAATGACTTGACGGCAGTGTGATTTTGGGTATGCTACAACAACAACAACATGTATGTATATACACACATACACACAGAGTATACATTATACATTAACTCACTGAACCTGAGGCACAGAGACAGGTTAGTGACTTGCCTGGAGCTGGGATGTCAGCTACGGCAAACTGGCTCCACAGCCCACACGTTTCACCACTGGGCTGCCCTCCCTACATTTAGAGAGTCATGTAAGGGAAAAACAAAACTCAAATGACTTATATGTAAAGAGGACTTTACAATTAGATTTGCTGCCTCTATTTATTAAACCTACTATGATTTGTACTGAATGAGTTATTCTTATTTAAATTGTGATGTAATGGACCTTTTTTTTTCCCCCCACAATAGCAGCGACATAAGGCAGACCGACAAGTTAACATGAAGAAAACAGCAGGTAAGGTATTAGATTGAACTTTTACACCACCTCTCTGTTAGCAGATATCCAAATTCACCAAATTTGGTCATAATTAAAAATATTTTATGAAATAGTTAAAGAAAAATGGAAACAACAAAAATCAGAAGTGTTTCCATGTGTTAGAAGCTATAATTATGTTAATTTGAATAAATGAGAACAAAAAAACGGGGAAGGATGGAATATTCAAGATACGGATATGGACAGAAGAGATGGATACCTATGTCCATGAAAAGATCTGGATTTTAAATAATTGCCTCGTGTTATCTCCTAGTCTTGCAGTTGTCATATATCTTTCTAATTGATTATAAATAGATTGTATTGTTTTTCAGGCTATCAGCCAGTATTTGTGTATGTTACAAAACTTATTTTCTCTTTAGGACTGGAAATGACTTGATATAGCATCTACTTGTCCATCTGTCTGTCTCTAAATCACCTATCATCTATCTGTATTCATTATGTATCTTTCTATATATTTGTCATTATATTATATAATATTATCTATATTTCTGCATTTTAATTTAGTGTATATAAGCATAGTTTACAAACTCTTGCAGTGTATATAAAGGTTAAATAAAGATAACCTTTTATAAAGAAATCTGTTTTTTGGGAAAAGGAAAGGTATCTTTTATTATTTTGGAATTTACCAAAATACAGTCCATACAGAGCTGTTTCTTTTTCAGTGTTACGGCAAAACACATGGCAAATGATTATGTGGAAGGAGGTAAGAATGGATTTGGAAGAGATTTCAGTTGCTGTAGTTCCCAGGGTTGATTCCATTCTAAAAGTTCATGTTAAATTAGAGTTGAGGTCAACCATTATTTATATTACATAGAAATTTTAAACCCTGGATGTTTTTCTACACTTTACATAATTTGCATGTATATTCCAATATTGATTATGTATATTCTGAATTATTCCTGCATAGTCTAAAACATGTTACTCATATGCGAAATGAAGAAACCCAAACAAATACACGAAATTCAAGACAAACCAAAAACACAAAGTTGAATTCATTGCTTACTTAAATAAGAGAGTGCCTTGGAAGAGTATTCTGATGATCAGCTTCAGAACAGTCAGCCATTAAAAACCCTGTGGGCTGGTGGAAATGCAAATTCATACAACCACTGTGGAAAACGGTCGGTGTTTCCTTAGAAAGTTAAACACAGGACTACTGTGTGACCCAGCAATTCTTCTTTAGGTATATACCCAACAGACCTGAAAGCAGTGAAGCAAACGGATCAGTGTTCATTGCATCACTGTTCACAGTAGCCAGTGGAAACAACCTAAATGTCCATCAGGACAAATAGATAACAAACTGTGGTACATACACACAGTGGAGTACTACTCATCCATAGAGGGAAGTCAAGTCCTGATACATGCTGCAACATGGATGAACCTTAAAGGCATTGTGCTGAGTGAAATATGTCAGTGACAAAAGGACAAATAGTGTATCATCATCTAACTTATATGAAATAACCAGAATAGACAAATGTATAGAAACCAATGCTTAGTAGCAGTTATCAGGGGCAGGAAAGAGGGGAAAGGGCAACCATTGTTTGGGAGGCAGGAATTTTGGTTTATGATGATGGAGAAGTTGTCAACTAATATATGTTGTTGTTAGGTGCTGTTGAGTTGGTTCTAATTCATAGTGACCCTGTGCACAACAGAATGAAACATTGCCTGGTCCTGTACTGTCCTCACAGTCATTGCTGTATTTGAGTCCATTGTGGCAGCCACTGTGTCAATCCATCTTGTTGAGAGTCTTCCTTCATTAGAACCCAAGTATGACTTTTAATCTATCCCACCTGAATTTGGAGACCATCTTAAGAATAGATTTGATGCATTCAACACAACCAGACGAGTTTTGGGATGACATCAAGGACATCATATATATATGTGTATATATATGTGTGTGTGTAAATACATATATATATGTGTGTGTAAATACATATAAATAAGTAAATAAACATGCATATAAAAGAAACCAAAAAAACCAAACGCACTGCCATTGAGTTGATTTGACTCATAGTGACCCCTCCTTGCGTTTCCAAGGTGGTATCTCTATGGAAGTAGATTGCCCAGTCTTCATTCCAAGGAGTAGGTGGTGAGTTTGAACCGCTAGCCTCTGGTTAGAAGTCAAATGCCTTAGGCACTATGCCACCAGAGCTCCTATGTCTGTCTGTCTGTCTGTCTATCTGTCTATCTACCTATCTAACAAGTATATAAAACAAGAAAGAAAGAAAACCCTATGGAGCATGGTTCTATTTTGACACATGGAGGGTCGCCATGAGCAGGAGTCGGTTGACTCAACAGCTGCTGGTTGGTCGGTTGGTTATGCTGCCTAGCACAGTTTCTCTGAGCAAAGTGGGAGACTGACTTTTTGGAAGGTTTTTAGAGTTGAAAAGTTAGCGGGCTTTTAGACATGGGAAGGGGCCGATACCCGTTGTAAGAGCCTAGTTGCTCGGGTGGGGTTGTTGTTGATTGACATACACGACGATTTTTCTGCAGACAATCAGTTCTCTACAGTCTGACTGTAGAAGTGAGAGCTTTTCCTTATTGATCGGTATACAAATGAGATTTGTCTGTAACTTTCATTTCTCCTACTGGACTTAAAAGACTTCACAATAATAGTGTGACTTCCCAGGGTCCTATGAAGCCTCCTAACAGGAGTTGGAGGATGATGTTCCACACTCTTCCTGGTTTTTTTGGGAGGTTTTGTGTAACTTTGGAATTATTTCTTCTTTGAATTTTGGTAGAATTCCTGGGGGGAGACATACGGGCCTAGAATTTTATTAGTGTGGGGTTTCTTTCTTTCTTTATTTAATTACAGATTTGATATTTTTAATGGCCATGGGAATATTCTAGTCATTGTATTCTCTTATATCAATTTCAGTATGTTACATTTTTCTATGAATTTGACCATTTTGCCTAGACTTTCAAGTTTTTTTTTTGGCTTAGGACTCTTCAAAATAGCCTCTTTATGTTTTTAATAATACATCATGATAGTGATGTGCCACTTTTCCTTCCCTATTTTGATTATATGTATCAATTCTCTCCTTTTTTCTCAATTAGATGTTTGTCAATATTACTAGTCTTTTAAAAGACCCAACTTTTGCTTTGTTGAGCCTCTCTGTTCTGTCATATTTATATTTTCCTGTTCATTAATTTTTGCTCTTTTTAATTTTTTTTTTGGTCTCAATTCTTTGGGCCTATTTTTGCTGTGCATGGAGCCACCCCTGGGCAGCAGACCACAGTAAGCCAGGCCCGGGACCAGCAGAAGGTGGGTTTTTGCCCCTGGAGCAGGCTGGGTAAGTGAGCAGGGCCGGGGTCATGAGGAAATGAGCAGAGGAACAGCAAAGGAAGACAAACTTGACTGTCAGTTTTTTCTACTGTGATGGCTTGAGTGTTGCTGTGAGGCTGGAGGCTAGGCCACCGGTGTTTCAAATGCCAGCAGGGTTACCCATGGTGGACAGGTTTCAGGGGAGCCTCTAGACTAAGATAGACTTGGAAGAAGGAAGAGGCCATCTACTTCTCAGAGAATTGGCCAGTGAAAACCTTATGAATAGCAGGGAAACATTGTGTGATATAGTGTCTGAACATGAGCCCCTCAGGTCTGAAGGCACTCAAAATATGACTAGAGAAAAGCTGCCTCCTCAAAGTAGAGTCGACCTTAATGATGTGCATAGAGTAAAGCTTTCAGGAGCCCCACTTGGTGATGCGGCACAGCTCAAGATGTGAAGAAACAGCTGCAAACATCTATTAATAATTGGAACATGGAATGCGTGAAGTATGAATCTAGGAAAATTGGAAGTTGTCAGAAATGAAATGAAACACGTAAGATTGTGTCCTAGGCATTAGTGAGCTGAAGTGAACTGGTTTGGCCATTTTGAATCAGACAACCATATGATCTATTATGCTGGGAATGACAAATTGAAGAGGAATAGCATGGCATTCGTCATCACA